AGGTGATTAGGTCAAAGCTTGGGGTTTTTAATAATATTAAATTTAAAATGTTACTCAAGGGATCTAAAGTTGACCTATCAATAAAATAAAATCTGTTTTCAAAATTATTATCAGTGTAAAACTCAATTCTGTACATTGGAACATGTATATTAGTAATTGTTCCTTAAATAAATGGTGGTGTAGAATTATCCCTCAAGCACAAAATCAATCAAACTATTAGCTATCATTCTTGTAAATCATAATTAAATTACTTTTAAATTTTCTATTTTCCATTCTATCCCATGTACGATCGCTACTTGAAACACTGTCAACCTATTATACGTATAATTGGGTTTTTGAACTCATCTAATTCAAATTAATTAATTATTTATGCTCATGCCTATTCTAACTATTAAATAGAATTTGAAAAAAGTTTTTCAATTCAGAGAGTTGGTTATCATTCCTTAATTCCTTTCCAATGTATCTCTTATTCTAATGCAACTATTGATATAAATTATAAGTAAGGCTACGATTATGATGCACTTTGCATTGTTTTCTGAAATAATGCTACCCTCGTTTTAGAACAAATACATTTAATTTTGAACCAGAATAATACATTTTTATTTGACATTTTTTGACGATTTTCAATTTGAAGTTTTAAGAACATTTTTGGAGTTTTTGAATCCAACATTTTATCTCAAGATTTTTACAAAAATTAAACTAAGTATAAAATAGGTATTATATTATATCTCACGATAGTAAAATGAATATCAAATCCTAGATAATGACTAACGGCCTTGTGGAAGTCTAATCTGTTAGAGCAGGGGTCACCAACCAACTTGTTGAGCATATTAAAGATTAATTATCTCAATATTATTTTATCATGTGCGTAATCTTAAACATACTTTAATGCATTAAATACATCGTAAAGTATTTAATAGCAATGAAAAACGGTACATTTTCTGATGGTGAAATAATACAAGAAGAATATTATTGAATATCCAATTTAATATTATGCTGCATGTAATAATAAATTTATATAAATAAATAGTGGTTGATCACCATATACTTAAAATTTTAAAATGTAGCTTACTTGTTGTGAAAGGTAGGCAACTCCTGTATTAGAGCAATGAAATTGACGTCCAATAATATTGTCCAGTAAGAGTTTTACTGTTGTAACATGCGTACATTTATTTTCCATAACGTTTTACTTTATTATTTGAGTTGATTGTCTTAAGTTTAATAGATTTTCAAATGTCTAAAGTTAAATGTTTGACTGCAAGTCAAATTGTTTTTGCAGTTTAAAACAATCAGTTTTATCCGTGAAACTTCTTTACAATTTTTTTAAATTTATTTGATCATTCATACCATATCATTACTTACCAAGTTTATATTATCAATTATACTGAAATTATTTTTAAAAAAAAATTAGTGCATTATTTATAATTTTTAGGACATCAAGCCCAGTCCTAATTATAAGTTAGTTCTCATGTGTATAGTCTATTCCTGTGACCATTGATTGTATATTATAAATTATAATCAATGCAGTCCATAAACAATGTGATAAATAATAAATAATTTTACCTATCTAATTTTAATTTTTTAATTTGATTGAAAATAGGTTTGGTGCCCCCAAAAATCAAAGCACTGCAACGACAAATGAGTGAAGTAGTTGAAAAAGAAACAAAAGTTGTGGAAGATAAAATAAGAAAATTCACAGAAAATCAATATTCAAATTTGGAAGAATTCAGAACCAAAGCTCAAAATGATTATCATACTTTAGCTACGTAAGATATTTTAAATTTTTGTTTTCGAATATTTTTGTACAATATTAATATTTTTAGAATATTAACCGAAAAAGATAAAAAGCCTAAATTTGAGAATTTACCTGCTCGAACAAGTACTAACAAAATGTCATCTCCTGTACAACAGTTACCAAAACCAACAATTACTACGCTCAAGAATAATCCAACAATGAATTTAATGGATTTTACATTTAAACCTTATACCAAGGTAATATTTAAGTTTTATTTATTTATTAATTTTGTAATCATTTTTAACCCTAACTAAACTTTGTTTAGGGTAATGAAAATAGTTCATCATCAAAAACTAGCCTAGTTAAAAAACCTACAGTCGGGGGCAGTAATGATAGTGGATTACCTCCAGCGTCGTTTGATGCAGAAGGTTTATTTCCTCTTGAAGACATGGAAAACCTTAAGATAGATTGTGCTTCTGATGATGATCTTTCTGAATCTGAAGGTAATAATTGATTAACAATTTTGATTTATTAATGAACGATAATTATTTGTTCAGGAGAATCTGGAAGCCATGACGAAGGTATTTACATTCCGCATCACAAAAAATTAGATATGGCTGTATCTTTACCAGTAGATGTACCAAGGTTTATGGTCCACAGTGGCAGTGTTCCAAGTGATGTTAATCCTCGTATTCCAGTAATTTATTATAATTCAATTATTATTAAAAAAGGGAATACCTTAATTATACATTTTTTTATTAAACTAGGTTGGACGTGATACTGAAAATAAAATGGATATTGCTGCTAGCATAAAAGCATTGGCAAAAAGTGTTCATGGTGATAGAATTTTTGGAGAACTACCTAGGCCACGTCTGGGATCTCAAATTTGAAAAAAGATTAATTTTTTTTTCTGTTAAATTATATTATCATACAGTAATATAAAATTTAGAATCTGTAAAACTTATTTTCCAAAAGTTGGTCTATTGTGGATCCTATTTAAACAGGTGATGAAGCGTTGATTTTCAAGAGTATAATTGATAACTTTTAATTTGCTTACAACTATTTTGGAAATATTTTTAATTATTTAAGTGTGATAAATCTAAAAGTACAAGATTTATAAGAATATATATTATATAATGCATATATATATTATATATGTATAATGCATATATTTTAATAATCGCTTTGATTTTGTATTACGCTTATATTGTTGTTATAAGTTTGTACGTTTAAAATATTTTCTATATATATTTTTAAAAAATGAAAGATTGAAATCAATTTTTACATTAAATCTACTTTTATTATGTCATATAAATACTGTCTTGTTATTTTATTTTTATACTCGATACCCTATAATATATTATAAGTATGATCAGGCCTGTGTTAGATATATTCCGCCCTAAAGTGAACACTTAAATGCCGCTCTTCTTTACCAATATTTATTTAATTTTGCCTCAATTGTTTTCATTTTGAATATGATCAAATAAACATTTGGTATACATTGTTTATTCTCCAGGTATTAGTTTTTGAATAACAGCAAATACAAAAATTGTTCCAGGAGAAATCAAGTGAATATCCAATGTTGTAAAACATTCAATTTCAAACGCTCATAAAAATTTAATTTAACTTTCAAGTAATTTTTTTCCATAAAAGTAGAGCAACTTGTGAGAAATCTTGAATACATTTTCAAATCTTAGATTAAAAAAATAAAGATTTTATGAATTTCAAACTCAAAATATTTTTACTCATTTTTCTGATTTTTACGTATTTTGAAACTCAGGTGCTCATAAAAAATTACTATGGTTTTACTCTCAACTTTTTTTTAATTCCCATTAATAACAACTTACAAGGATCTTTTCAAGTTTTTGATCAAGCAAAAATTTTCTTTTAAGATGTTAATTTTAAAAAATCTAATAATAATTAAAATGTCCATATTATGCTTATTAATCAACATGTGTCAAAATATTTTGAAAATTGTATGTGGTAAAAAAACATTCTGTGGAAACATTCATTTCTTGTGTCTACGATTATTTGTTTTTGAATAACACCTAAAACCAAAATTGATATTGAAAACCAAGTTTGCTTAAAATTCCTGTTTTTCCTTGAAATGAGAGGGCTTTAAACTCTAATGATGTTGTGTCGTATAAATCAGACAGCATCAGCTGGATTTTGGGCTTGTATATTTTTCAAAACACCATTATTTTTAATATTGTTGTTGATATACAAACTATACTTACGCTGAGGTATATATTATTGTATGGTTTCGTGTTTAAAAGGGCTTCAAGACTTGAACCTTACCTGAAATATCTGACAAACTATACCTACTAGGTAGGAGAGGCCTTCAAAACCTTAAGCGTCAAAATATTGAACACAAAAATTGTTTCCGTCAAAACCTTGAACGTCTTTTTCCTTTTCTTTTAACTTTTAAAAGTTACAAGTTAACTAGAAAATAAAAGTAAATCAACTTAGTTAAAAACCTGTTACCTATTTCATATAAAATTAAAAATTATACATTTTTAAAGCTAACGAATAACATAGTAATTTAATAGATGTCTTAGAGTTTATATAAATGTATGGATTACAGTATTATTAATTGCTGTAAGTACTTCTATACATTAATAAACCAATGACGAAATCCAACAAAATATTTATTTTTTCATAATTCTTTACCTAGTAGTATACAACTCATGACAATACTTCATTATAATTACCAATTTGATACGTCCAAATTCCGATTATTATTTTTTTTTCTAAATTTTTTAATGGAATATATTTTTAAATCTGTGATTTTAGAGAAAAAAGAACTTAATGTGACACTAGCTCAAAAGTTACATCATAAGATGGAAAAAAAATTTACCTTTTTAAGTTAGAAGTTGCCTTAAAAAAAAAAGTAACTCGTTATGCAATTTAGTTAAATTAACTTAACTTTAACTTTTTAACTCAATAATGCCCGCCCATCCTTGAAAAAACCACCTTATCAAGGAGACCAGCACAATCATTTTGAACCTTTTAATAACGAATGTGCAATCAAACTTAATATTAATATTAAATAACCTGTGAGCAGCTCTACAGTTAAAGCCTGTTCATTAGATTAATAATTAATTGAATATTAATATTCTAATTGTTTATTTAACAAATTACAATTATGAAAAATAAAATAATTCTTAAGTGTATTGTGAACATTATCTTATTTAATATTTTTTGTAACATTCGAAATGTATAAACAATGTATAATTAAAAATAAACATTACATTTTAACTATAATATAACATATTATGAAATACAAACTGAAAAAAACTGATGGATAAATATACAAATTATTATTTTAAATTTAATACTAGTTGATTGATGTGATTTACAACAATAGAAGTATTAAAATCAATGCTGTCGGAACCATTTAAAAATATAACATCGGGTTTCTTTTTTTTTATCATTTCTAAATGATTTACATACTCAGGCCAAGCATACTTGTCGAAATACCCAGATGGTTCTGGAGGCAAATATGTTCTAGCTACACGTCTATCCCGACAATTTTTTTTATCCAAAACAATAAAAAATGTTAAATCTGCTAAATTAAAAATTCTAATATCATCCAGTAAAAGAATTCCTTCAAGCACTAAAATGTTAGAAGTTTGAGAATCAATTGTAGCCATCATTTTATCCATATCATAGGCACTTATTTTATCCCAAGCATGGTAATTAAGTTCTGGAATACTTTCCAAATGGTCTTCATAATTAGTATAGTAAAAATCATCTTGATGTAATATTGAAACATCATTAAATGTGTTTGTAAGACGGTTGGCGATAGTAGTCTTGCCCCCACATGTAACTCCTGCGATTACAATAACTAACTGTTTAGCCATAATTTAATAATTTATAGCAACACAAGTATAAATTATCAGACTAATTATAAACAATACACCAATTGAAACTGGCATCACCAGTGCATTATAAATGGATGGGAATAATTGATAAATAAATGATTCTGAATCAGCAAATGGTGGTATGAATAGCCAACAAGTAAAATAAGCAAATATAGTTAGCACTATGACTATGATAATTTTTCCTAGTGTAAAATCATCCATTAGTCTTGAAAATATTCACGCTCAAATTTCTCAAAATCTTCATCGGTAAATACGGTACTCTCTTCTTTTTTGGAATTTGGTACTTCAGATGAAAAATTGACTAATCGTTGCTTAATCTAAAATTCATAAAATAAATAAATCGTTACAAAAATTAACTATATAATTTACATACAAAATTAAAAGTATCAAATTGTAGATACAAGACTAGGTAACAGTCCAATACGTGACCAACACATGGCAGTCGACCAACCGATAAAGTTGTATAGACCTACAAGTTTCCTTATTGCAATTATTATCGTTAACTGGACATGTTTTTGTCGTACATTTTTCCAGACTTATTTGGAATAGAGTATAGTAATATTACTACTTTTATAGCCATATTATTAGAGATAAAGTTACATATTGTGTACAATCCTTAAAAGACTAATGTTTATTACTGGTCAATAATACCATAACATGTATAAAAGTTAAAGATAGTATTTAATGTAATGGTCAACTGGTAGATTACTTGAGAGATAATAAAAAAAAATAGATTCTGATTTTTGTACTGTAGAAAAATTATTGAAATGAAATAAAAACTGCAATGATAATTTATAGCGACCACATACTAATGGAGAGCATATTCAACATTAAATCTTCACAGATATATTCATCAAACGGATTAACTCTGACTTTGTCATTGAAAAACACAAAAACTCAAAGACTACTCAAAAACAGGAACACATACTTAACAAATTGGAGGATTGTAGAGAAATGTAAAATAAAAATACACTATTTAAAAAAAAAAGGAGTCTAATTTACTACATAGCACATAAACACAATCCAGAAACTAATTATAATGATTTCATAATACTTATAAATTTTGTTTGTTTAAAACACTCAGTTTTTCTAGTTTTAGGCAATTATATACAATTTGAAAATTGTATTTTATATTTTAGTTGCTACCTTAATTATAATACTTTTCAACTAATTTACTGCCTGATACATATTTAGGCAGAGGGGGGATGATATTGTGTATTATATCAACAAACAAAATTACTTTACTAGAAAAACTCTTACGCCTTATTGATGTGTCGAATTTCAATGATTTCTTTTATCTTATATGATATGAGAACCTTTTTCTGATCAAATTAAAACCCTAATTTTCATTTTACTTTAAAAAATAAATAGTGCTAGAAAAATAGGTTTGAAGAATAAAAAATCTGTGTATAACTCAATTTTATATTTTAGCTTCCATATCTAATTATAATTTTGAAAATCGAGCTTTAATCAGGCCCGCCAAATATTCTTTTTTTTAAAATAGATTAACAACCTGACTATTTTACAGTATTTCCTGTAAAACATGTTTTTTGGCACTCATTTGGCATGGGCTCTACGGACAAGTTTCTAATTCTATACACATCATTCAATTTGGCATTTAAAATTAATGTAATTTGAATTTGTAATAATTAGAAAATTTTATTTTATTTTATTATCGATCACGTTCTGAATATCTTTTAACAATGAAAGAAAATTCAAGAATTGTGATCGAGATTGGACTGCAAATGATTAGAATTTTGATAATTTAAATTTTCTTATTTTGTTTATACATTCTGACATTCTATGTTCTAATGATTGATATTCAAATTAGTTTCCAAGTTATAGAAATTATTAGTTATTACTAAGGCCAACAGTTATATACCCCAAAAATCTAAAAAATATGTATACAGTTATGCCCTAAAAATTACCAAAATATGCCCTTAAAATATGCTCTAAAAAAATTGTTATTATAAAAAAATGATTAAATGATTAATTTTTTTATGTATTATACAATTTATACTATATTACAATATTATTGCCAATGAATAATGATTCACAAAAATGTGTGATATTAAATAATATTAAAAATTAAAAAATTAAAATTAAAGTAATAATTACATTTTAATTTTTACCCGATGTTATTACATTGAACAATTAACAAATTTTTGTAACGTGAAAAGGAACGTTCTACATCAACGGATGTAATAGATGCGTATTTATAATGCAACAAATAGTTGTTGGTCAAATCTTCTGGGATGCCTTCTAACGTGAATACATCCCCAGAAAATACTTTAGAAATTTTCGTAAGAATATGAAAACCATTATTTTTTTTAAAAACATCTTCACATTTGTTGTTATTATCAGTGCCATTTGTACCACTAACTTCCTTTACAATGGTCGATTTAATAATGCACCGCACAAATATAAAGAACGACTGACGACTGTGATAGGTGCGATAAAATATAATATAATATTCATCTCTATGCGATACGGTTACCGATCTACGGACATATAATTGTTGACCCTAATAATTAGCGATTAAGATTAAATTACCTATTTTCATAAATGAGCTGAAATACCAATAATAAGGTATATGAGTGAAACAAATTAATATTTTGTGATTCCCGAGTTTTTAAGATCTTATATAAGCTCCAAAAATATACTAAATGCTAAAATATGCCCTAAAAATGCAAAAATATGCAAAATAAAATGTTGTGTACAGCATCGTTAGGTTAAAAAAAAAATGTTGGTATAAACTAGCTATTTTTTTGACCAACCAATAAAAATATGCAAATGCATATAAGTGTTGGCCCTAGTTATTACCTACCTACTTGAAGTTGAAAAATTTGATCAAATTATTAGTTGTTCAATATAATTTTTCTATTGACCACAGTAGTTTAAGTTAGATACTGAGACACCAAGTAATAAATGTATGTAATACTTACAAGTTGCAACATATTTAGAACAAAAGGGTTTTTTAATATATATATATATACATATATATTTTTTTTTATTAGCTTTTAGTAAAAAACTTAATATATATTTTAAGCTATAAAAAAACTAACTTCTACTTTAACTTAAGTTACTATATTCACCAAACTAACTTCTAACTTAGTTAATTTTATTATTCAAGTATCTTAACTTTAACTGATTGAAAAAAATTACTAACTTGCACAGCTTTTTAAAATGCACCAGCTCCATGCTTTTAAAAATTTAGCGTCTACACATCAATATTATACCTACCTATACAATTAATATAGGTACATTACACCATTAATTTTTAGTTATTACAACTCATTAGTCATTATGTACAATTTTTTTAAAATATATTGTTATTTGTAAAACCCTACTTTTTAAATTAAAATATAATGTTGGGTAACACAAATGAAATTTAAATAAAAATAATTTATTTAATGAGTAACTTAATGTTACAACTTTTCAAAAGTAATTTAGCAAACACTGTCAGTCAGGTAATTAAAATATTGTTTAATAACTTGCAATGTAAATACAAAAAATATACATACCAAGTTTGATGCAATGTTATTTACACAACTAGTCTTATCTAATTTATGTAATCGTTCTAAATTTAGCTGCACCAAATTCAATTCCTTTTCATTTTTTATTTGTTCTTTGATTTTAAGAACAGATTTTCCAGCATCAGATTTCATAAAATTTGGTACTTTAAATACACTTTTGGCACGCTGTGATTTACTTTTAGATTTACTTAAGCGACTGGAAGATTTGTTGGCTGCAAAGTCATGTAGTTTATTAGTTTCTTTCTCAAAATTAAAATAGAAAAATTTATTAAAAATTACCAGATTTTTTTTGAGTCGGTTTTTGATTTAAAAGTGGTTGTTCTTCAAATATCTGTAGAGCTTTTTTTAAAGTAGAATAAGACATATTAACTGGGTATGTGTTTCAGAATTTTAACATTGGTATCTTCAAAACATGAAACTACTTTTTTCTTTTTAATTCACTGTTAAGGTAGATAGCAAAAATTTCAGTTGAGTTATGTGATTTAAAAATATTATGATAACAATTTGAATACTCACGAGAACATTTACAAAAAAATCAGAATTGAATAAGAAAAATGTGACAAATGATAGCCATGTGTTCCTTAAATCTTAAGAGTTTGACTTGAGATTTAAGTTATAACATACTATATTGTTACTCTCTAACTTTAATAACCACCTAATAACTCTTACCTATTAAGAATACAATAACATTAGCTTGACCAGTCATGACTCATGACCCGTGGGTACTGGGTTGTCTGGGGAATCGGCATTCGGCGATCCAGTATCCACATGTAGAATATTATATTATTATGTGTATGATGGTAAAGTAATGTGGTATGGACCATGATAAAGAAGTCGAGTTGACGATTCCTAAAATGTTAGGTTAGGTGATAGCATAAAACGATAATGATAGTGTGAAATGTGAAATCATAGTTAATAAATGAACTTAGGTCAAAACGACACTTAAAAAACGACAAGGGTAAAAAACGACAAATGGGCTTATATTTTAGTAAAAAATTATAAAATCATAAATTATAAATATTTGAAGGCTGTATCATACAAGTATGTTAAAATATCAAATAATAAACATATTTTTCAGTCAATACCCATCAGCCTTCTACTTGCAACACGTGACAAACTCCTCGGGAAACTTCTAAAACTACTTTCTCAGATTGTTTTGGAAAACAAAATACTTGACCCCCAATTCGGTGTTCGATCCTACCAATCAGGCATAAACAGCTCAATTATAGGTAAGATTCACTCTACATCGAAAAAAACAAATTTTAAACAATAACTGAAAACCACTTGTCAAACTCGAACTGAATAAAATACTTTAGATAGCTATTGACAAAGGCTCGCCTAAAAATATTTACTAAAAATAAAAGAAAAACAATGTAACTCACGCCTTCGACTTCTTCACCTTATCCTTAAATCCAAACTCAGTCTCAAAAACAAAATGGAAAAATGCTCATTTATAAATAGATATTATACCTATAGGCTATGGCTCTCATTTAGTTATATAGTATCCAAATCTGAGCCGAAGCAAATCCGTTCAACATTAGCCCACTGAAGGCATTTTAGCCTTTAGGTGGTTATAGTTAACACGAATTATTTTATGCCCATGGTATGGCTCTGGCTAACTTTATACATATAATGGCTTACATATATCTCCACATTAAAAAACTGGTTAATAAAAACTATTGAGTTCACGCCTTATACCTATCATGTATATTTTGTATTTACACTAAATTATTAGTTATATACCCACCTACTGGCTACTAATGTATAATTATATAGACATT